GATAATACGACACCCGCGGTAGTCCCGCGACATGTAGCACACAAACGATGTGGATAGGTACAGTTTCCCCGTATACACGTTCAGCACGCCAGGTACCGCCATGCTTGCTGTCTCGATCACTGCGATTAGCGATTCGCCGTACGGGAGCCCAAACTCGCCCCGGAACTCCTCATCCTTGCGCTGCCTTGCAATCTGCTCGGCAAGTGACCCGCCCGCTCTTGCACTAGGCGGTGCCGGGCTCGGCGGGGGTCGCATGGCGTTGGTGTCTGGGTTGGCCGAGCTCGCAGCGCTTGGGCTGCGGTGGTGGCTGTAGCTGTGGCGGTGGTTGGACCGTGCGCTTGCTGGCTGATGCTGCGTGGTAGCGTACTCGGAGTTAAGCAGCACGCGCTTCATGGTGTTAGCCGTCAGCTGGGACAGCATATCGAACGTCTCGTCACGGTGGAACAGGTTGGAAAACGTGTAGCTGCTACCGTCCTTGGTCACCACCTCGATGGAATCATCGCGAGCCCCGCCCATCGACCGCGCCTTGCCCAGGTCCTTGATATCCCGGAGCTGGAACATGATCTTCTTCTCCAGTCCAAATATATACGAGTAGAAGCAAAAGTAGTTCTCACTCAGATACAGCCACCCCTGGTGCAACATAAAGTTCTTATAAAGTGCACACGAATAGTACGTCACAAGCGTCTCCGTCCGGCCTACATTAAACGTTTGTCTGAACGTAGTCGCCGCCGCACGCATCTGTCGGTCGGTACTGTAGTCCGGCCCATCCTCCATCGATACGAGGAACCGGATCTTGGTCACCACAAAATCTGTCCGCTCAATCGGGTCATCAAGGTCAGTGACCACGGGCATGATATTGTCCGCCAGCCACCGCCAATCCGCCTCTATTTCCTCCTTCGTTTCCCCTGCGCCCAAGAGTATGTATCTTGTTGACGAGTCCTCTGGCCTGAACACCACCCGGTACGGTGGCGGCTTCGTCTCCAGCACATTTTGAATTGTTGCTAGCACGTTCCGCATAAACGCCCCACCGCTGCCTGTGGATATCGACTGCTGCAGAACAAAGCTTCCTGTGGTCTTCACGTCGTCCCAGAACGCACTCTGTTCGGCCGGCGCTGGCAGTACAAACATTCTGTCAGTCCTCTTTTTTTTTTATTTCTTCTGCCCAGCAATTAGGAAATAAAAACTATGTAAAGTGAAATTACTGCAAGAATAAAATGGCAATTTGTTGGATTGTGACTTGATAAAGACCGCAAACCGAGTGGATAGAAAAAGAATAAGAGAAAAAGAAGAAAAAAGGCAAATTGTTTGGGCAATAGTTCTTTATGCGTTTCAAATGCTTAGGTGGGGAAGGAAGTATGCATTTAGTGGCACAGAATTATGTGAATCTTTTGCATTGCAAGTAGCCTGGCTTTTAGCGGATTATTTGGCGTTGATTTTTCACTACATAGGACAGAAACAGAAAGAAAAACAAACAAAAAAACCTCGGTGCTCGTTCTTACAGAGAAACTATTGAATGAAAGTACAGTGGCACACACTGTATGATCGGTTTTGTGCTTTTAGTTATTTTAACTATCACTTGCCATGAAGTTAAATTTAAATCGCAGTGTTTATATTGTTCCATAATTCTGGTCAAGGGCTATTGACGAGTATATTGTATGTCCAATGTAACTATAGCTTTACAAAACTATGTGTTAATAGGAAGGATAAGTATTTGTGTGGTCTTTTGTGAAAAATTTCATTTGGGTATATTTCCCATGTTCATGCTTGGTAAAACTCTATCCATGAGTCTGGGCACTATTGGGCATACTGCCATTTAGTTTCAAACATTCATCCTTGGCTGCTTCATTCTAAATATCCTGGAATCTGTCCCACATAATCTTTTTGCTTAATCTTTTATTTTGCAAGAGTCTTATTCACAATAAGGCACCCATTGGCAATTCTCCAGGGATTTATAGTTGAATTCCTAAAACTAAATCTCTGTCAATAATAATAGAAATCTATTGTTGAGGTTTTAGTTAAAACCACCCATGATATTTACATATTCAACATCTACTTGTCATGGGGAATTCCAGGTTTCCACATAGCAGATTGAATTACCACAATATAATGAAGCTTTGGCAGATGTACTTTCCTCATAAGAGGTCTGAAATAATGCAAATTGGATTGCTTGATATTGGGCCAGCAAAAAAATCAAACCTGATGACTGCTACATTGATATCAGCTGGGCAGGAGATGGTTACATGGTCAGCACCTGTGAAATTGTCTGGGGTACAAAATCTTGGACACATTTTCTACAAGCTTCCACTTGAATCTATGTGCACTGGAACTCCCTCTTAAATTCATTTTTAATTATTTTATTAAAAATAATTAATGGGCCATTTCTGCACCGAAACCTCCCTCGGGATTCGCCCCCACTTTCGGTGCAAGCTACCGAAAGACAACTCTTTCAGAGTCTTGAGGGCAGATCCCTTAACAATTTGATAATATTTAATATTTATATAGTATTTAATAACTTGATAGTATTTAACAATTTAATAGTGTTTTTGTATTATTAGTTGATTTCCCTAGGTATGGCCTGAGATTCGAACTATTTTGGATTAACTTTGAATATGCAATTATCCATAACTTCATGAATGCTAAATGTTAGCGATTAAATCTGGCTAACTTAGCGAAACACCGTTAGCAAGATCACATGACCTGCAACGGGATTATGGGATTCCGCACATAACGTGGAATATTAAATTAAGGAGATCCGTCCTCCGATCTCCGTCCTCTGGTTACGGGTTCCCGTTGTGAACACCTATAAATACAAGTCCGCGTGTCCGCGTTACGGATTACGGATTACGGAATACTCGTGCAAGTATTAAATTATGTCCGGTTGACATGTAATAAATAAGTATAAAGTAGTCACTTTATACTTATATGTAGTATAACATAAAATGTTATATTATACAAGTATACAACCGAGCTATATACTATTACAAGTGTATGAATTGAGGCGACGCTCAATTCATATAAATAGATGAAATTCCCTCGAAAAGTTTATTTGGATTCATTATCGAGTTTCTATTATCATATATTATAGTTTATGTTTATTAATATATAATAGTGCAAAAACATTTAACGAACGCAACGCAAAGCCGCAGGATTACGAGAATCCCGTGTGAGTAATCAACAGACTAAAAGTACAGTTTAACGAATTAGCCGCGCTCGATCAGGCTAACCGCAGATCACGTGATACGCGATTACGTGACAAAGAAGGCACGTGAACAGACAAGTTTCGAAGAAAGAAAATATAACATACCAACACATACGAATATATACACACACGTTAAGGATGTTATACGCTTAGGAACCATTAATAACCTTACTTCAACGATGTGCCTGTACTATGAAACGGGCAAACCAAAGAAGTTCCTTCAAGTAGATAATCTGTGGCCCCATCATCTAGATGCGTGGTCAGTGATTACAAGTCACACTCTCCTGCATCGCAATAATGTTACACATATAGGATGTGTGGCTAATGGACAGTCTGGTTTAGTGCATCTGCCCTGTTTGAATTGCGACCTAGCAGCAGCAATGAACTTTTGACACATTGCAAATGGTCTCCAGAAAAATAGTGCAGTTCCTGAGCATTTCCAATGTGGCAATCATATCAGGAACAACTCAATTGTGCCAAAGAATGGCAAGGTGTCCCCTGATGGCCCCCTGCACAACACCAATGCACAGACTAATCAGAGAAACAATTGTAATCTAACAATTTCACAAGAGACTACACTCTCCCCTCTAGGGGATTAAGAGCACTGTTATCTTCTCTCAGTAAGTACTTGTTTATTTTTATATATGGAAATGTGCTACTGATATTGTTCTATGTCTGCTAATATTTTATTAGCTCTGTTTTTTTACTCCTTTCCCTGTATGTCAATGATAATCATGCTACCATCTGTGCTCCTTCACCATGCTAAATCTGTCTTTCACTAAAATGGAATAATCATCTAAATGCATTAAAAATATGTCCAATGTAATGCATTTAGAGAAGTATAATGATACCAATTATCCTATTGTGCAACAAAATGAGCTGTTTTTATAAAAAAAACTACCTTTATACATTTAGTCTCAGCTAAAAAAGTGAGCAATTGATATGATGCTAGGTGTTGTTTGTTTGTTTGTTGGCTTGCATTGCCAGTTCGTGGGAAAATGGATTTATTGAAGGAAGAGCTATACTGACTTAGGAATAAACAGAGGACTTGTAATTAGAAAGAAGGAAAAGAAAAACCGCCAATTGCCCTCCATGGGCTCTATCATCCGACCTGTCCTCCTGCCGCCCAAAGGGCGTGGAATAGCTAGATTTTTAAAGCCCAGCCCGGGTCCGGTAGTAGAGTATGATATGTTCTCTTGTTTACTAAAAATAAACCAAAATAAACTAAAGAAAGAGAGTAATGAACTTGCGAGTCCTGTGCTAAAGGTATTTACTGCTCTAAATCTAGTAACCAAGGTATGCATAATTGCATGAATAAGACTTGCTTTGGAGCTTTGGCTCAGGAAATAGTATAGTATGTTTTTGTTGGCTGCTAATAAGTGGTATTTGAAACATGTTGGTAGCCATATGGAAAGCCGCAAGCCAGAAGAAGGCTGATATTTTAGAAGAAAAACTCTTACCTCATTGTCCGTGTGCATCTGCATTGCTGGCCACATTAGCTTATGTGTTGCTGCAGGCAACGGCACTGCACCAGAGAGAGTTCCACAATAGTTATAGGATTGAGTAACCATTTTGACATGCATATCTACGCAATGGAATCATATTAATGGCAGGACATAGCCACTGTGTCTGCAGTTGACGGAGAAAGCAGTTTATATTTGAAGTCACGTTCACTTATTAGTTAGAAGACATTGTGTAGAGCGCTCTTCCAATATAATAATGAATAGCAACTGGTTCTTTATTCTTAAAATACTGGCAAACGAACTGTCTTATTGGGCCACTTTGGATCCAAAACGGCTTCAGTTGTGTGGCAGAGTGGTCTATGGCGCCGGACTTGGGGTTTGTTCCTCAAAAGGGTGTTGTGGATTCGAATCCCACCATAATTACCTACTTTTTACGTTCTCTGCGCTTGTTTTATTTCTTTGTGAGAAGTCTTTTTGCAACCAGCATTACTCGCGTACAAAGACCGCGGGCTGGCCTGTTACATTTCAAATAATTTTTATCTGTGCGCTCCAGTACTTCTTGGTGATAAAATCAAACCAGCGTGTTGCTTGGCTATTCAAAACAGGCTTTCGATGGCAAAGGAGAAAATGATTGTGATTTAATCTTTGGCAATATGTTCAGGAAGAATTAGCGCTATTGTAAACAGCCGCAGCCAGTTGAATAGGCTAAAATAAGTGTCAACAAACTGTGTGCATGAAATGCATAGTAGCTGGCTGTCATTCACATTTCACTTTTCTTCCTTGCAGCACAGCTTTCTTTTTATTTCTTTACTTTTACCTTTGAAGTTCTTCCAACTGCCTCATTTTGCTCATAGAACAATGGCTGGTGGAAGCAGAGCCCGAGGCACAAAGCGCCGGCTAGCCGATGAAAATGATCCCAACAACAGAAACATTACACCGGTAAGGTTACCAGCAGCCTCATTGCTCTGTTCATCCAGCACACCAAACAAGGCTAAACGACCACGGTCGGACAAAAGGTTACATGGTAAGAGTCTAGTTGCTAAGCAAAGCCTCGCACGTACTGGAATAATTTGCACCGGAAAACAGCACCTTGTACTATGATTAAAGGCTGACACATTTTCATTTCAACTTAACTCATATAGCGGCCTCATGCTGCAAAAAACAGCAGAAGCACAACAATACGCCTCACGTCAAGCGATCCGGACACAAAAGCAGCCATCTCAATAGCGGTACTCCAACTAACTCGATTCAAATGGAACGCAACGAAGAAGCAATAAGAGCAGCTGAAGCTATACTTGAAGACAAGAGGGTCCCTGATGTAGCAATACCTCATGAACCTGCTTCTTCTGCTGCTTCCCGAAGAGTTCTGAAGCTTGTCATCAGTGCCCTGGAAAAGTACATAGCCATTCCATCAATCATTTCACTTGGCCTCAACGGGGATTACAACAATATGCTGGCTTTGGTGCGTACAGAAATTATGGATGGCGATAACAGCAGAAGAAGAGGACTCAGGGGCAATGACCGCCGTGACACTAGCAAAGCAAGAAGCAACGTAATGCCCGAGTCGGAAATGTATTGTCCTATCAGTGCGCTGCTAACCTTTATAGCCGATGCTATTGACGCAGCCGCACAGGAGGTACTGAGCAAAACGACTTCACAAAAGATCAAAGACGCACTTGGAACAAAGAGAAGCATTGTGCCTTTTAGAAAAACAGACAGCAACTCTAAAGGTTCGGACGACTACCATCGCATCGATTTGGGCTTGGGAATTGTTGATGAAGCATTCTCGGTTATTAGCTCCAAAAGCGAGAGCAAGCCGGACTATACAGACATGCTGGCGGTTATTGAGGTTAAAGCCGATGTCGGCAAACAGCAGAACGCGTATCAGCAGCTATTCGAATATTCGCGAAACATTTATGTCAACCAGCACGACCGCCGCTTTGTCTGGGGGTTGACCGTATGCGGAGCGGTTTTTCGTGTTTGCTTGATTAACAACGACCGGATGCTGGCATCCGATCCCATGGATGTGACTAGACCTGATGGTCGTATGTCGCTAGCCAAGTGGCTAGTCAACATGTCGTTCTGCGAAAAGGACAAGCTTGGACGCGACCCCACGATATACTACAACATGGAAAGCGCAAAGTGGGAGATCGTGGTATTCGACGATGACACAGAGCGTGACAGTATGGTTTTCCAGATTGAAAGCTGTACTCGAATTGCAGACCGTGCATTTGGCCGTCATACCCGCTGTTTCGAATGCACGCAGATAGCCTTAGAGTCTGGTTCCGCCGATGACAGCAACAGAAACAGCAATAGCCAAAGCTCGTTTATATCACAACAGGCCGCCAAAGTCATTGTTAAGGACGCTTGGGCCATTGGCACGAATGCTCCTGCGGACAAGTTGCGCGACGAGGTTGCATTGCTGCGGGAGATTAACAATAAGCTAGCAGATAGGGATGGTCTGGCTGGCAAGTACCCGATATTGTTGGCTGGTGGTGTTGTTAAGCAGACTGGCAAAGGCGATAAGCTCTTCAACGACAACTCTAGCAATGTTTTTGCTGCGCTTGGCAACAAAATATTGAAGGAGATCGGAACTTTCCGCGTTCACAAGAGACTAGCGATGACACCAATTGCTCAGGATATCCGGCACGTCAATTCGGTAGATGAGCTCATAATTGCAGCAGCCGATGCGATGCAGGCGTATTGTGAGATATGGAGCACATGCAAGATTCTTCATCGTGACATCTCCACGAACAACATTCTCATTAGTCGCTATAAGGACGTCGACAACAGAATCAAGGTTCGTGGAATGCTCATTGATTTCGACTGTGCTCTGCATGTTGACATGTCATCTAAACGCGATATTCGGCCCGAGATGACCGGAACGTATCCGTTTATGAGCATTAACAATCTCGCCAATACTGATGTTGAACGCACGCCTCTAGATGATTGGGAATCGATCATCTATGTTCTCTGCTGGCTGGGAACAATTGGAGTTAACTACGAGGACGAAGAAGAACGAGAGGAGAGTGGGCCTGCCTTCAGCTCTCTGCCTATATTCAAATGGAGCGAGGGCTTAGCAACACAGGTTGCAAGTGCTAAGCGCAATGATATGCACTCGCACGAAAATTTCCGGTCAAGGATTGTAAAGCGGTTCCTTAACCGTGATTCGTACAAACCGCTGAGACATCTGGTTATGGCTCTTCGCCAGAAACTCATCAACAATCGCAAAATGTCTTCGATGGGACAGGGCGCTTTTGAGGATAATGACTATGATGATTCAGACATGGATTTTGCATTTGCACGAGAATCAAGTGGCAGCGCCAACACCTCCAATTCAGGACGGTCCTTTTGGGACGATGGGTTCAAGAAGAATGAGACTCTGTTCGATCCGAATGAGTGTTTTGCTAGGCGAGCCTATTGTGCAGACAAAATCTCGAAAGAGCTTCTACAGGTAATCTTGGATGCGCGCGAAAAGGCTGTTGCTCGACTCTTTTAATGTGAACATAGCTTTATTTAGTCTTCTTTTTCAAACTTGGAAATGAATATTAAAAGTAGGTTTTACAATATGCTTGTTTCTTTAATTAGTACATACATGGTCGTTGAGGCTGCTCTCCCAATTGTAAATGCACAAATAATGCTATTGCTATATAGGAAAAAAAGCCAACAATGACTAGTATAAAGGTCGTGCAATTTTCTATTCTAGTACCAGCCAAGGATTTTCCACCACAAAAGACCCACAGACAAAACTGTTCCTAGCATTATTGCCGATATCACCAGACCATAAAAGAACCAGCGCGGCTGGGATATGTAGCCCTGGGAAGCGTAGATTGCAACAGACCCAGTGGAAAAGGGAGTCAATACGCCAGACATTGAGCTGAATAGCGCAACAAGGATCGTCAGTAGCCGTGGCGGACATCCCAACACGTGTCCTGCAGCGAAGAACGGGCCCGCAAAAGCAACGACATGGCTGGATATCGAGGAAAACAGATACATGGACAAAAAGTAAACAAGCGACAAGGAAAGTGTGCCAGCCAGCGGCGAGGTGTGCTGTAGAGATCTAGACAGGGAGTTTCCAATCCATTCTGTGACGCCTAGCGCTGTGAGCTGCTCAGCAAGAACAATAAACGACGCGAGCCAAAAGAACGTGTCCCATGCCTTGTGGTTTTTGATAATATCGTCCCATGTCAAGATATTTACCAAAACCAGCACAACAATAGCCATGTACGCAACGACAGCAGAGTCAATTCCAAAATACGGCGTGCCTATCCATAGGACCAGACAACCAAGTAGAGTGGCGCATAGCTTCAGCTCGTTTGTTGACACCTGTCCAAGCTCACGGTGCTGCTGGAGAATATCGACGGATAGCATGCCAAAGTCGACTTTTGGACGCATGATAATGTGCATCACAGGCGGAAGCAGGAAAATAAGGAAGAGCACAGGCACGCATGCACCAAGTACCCATTGCGAGAACCCAAAGTCAATGCCGAATATGCTGGCCGCCTTGGTAGCAACAATTGGGTTGCCAGCCATGCCTGTGACAAATAGCGATGACGACAGCAGGTTGGCAGCTGCAGCAACAAGCGAAAAGAACCCTCCAACGGGGTTTTCGCCCATTTGTGGCTCAACTCCAAGCGATGCGATTATCGACTCCACAATAGGGTAGATGATCCCGCCGCCACGAGCCGTATTTGACGGAATAAATGATGCAAGAGGGAGCTCTGCCAAGCATATAACATACCCAATGCCAATCGTGGACCGTCCCATTTCCTTGACTAAAATAAGCAACACTTGCCAACCAAACCTGGTCTTCTCCACTGCTTTGCCAATATAAAATGCCGTGAATACAAGCCATAAAACTTTGTTTGCAAACCCAGACACTGCCACATAAAAGCTGCTGCTGATAGGGTCGCATTTTTACTCGTGCCAGTGCCCCGAGTTGCCCTGATACATGGTATTGCATCTGTCGCACTCTATCCAATGGCCATCCACTGTTGTGCACATAAAGCTTTGTGTAAGTGTCAATGTAAGCAGTGCTACAGCCAAAGCAACCAATGTTATAATGACATATGACAATGTTAACATTTGATCAGAATGGAACTCCCTCAAACTCATTTTTAATTATTTTTATTAAAAATAATTAATGGGCCATTTCTGCACCGAAACCTCCCTCGGGATCCGCCCCCACTTTCGGTGCAAGCTACCGAAAGACAACTCTTTCAGAGTCTTGAGGGCAGATTCCTTAACAATTTGATAATATTTAATATTTATATAGTATTTAACAATTTAATAGTATTTTTGTATTATTAGTTGATTTCCATATATTAATAAACATGAACTAGAATATATAATAATAGAAACTCGATACTGGATCCAGATGAACTTTTCAAGGGAAGTTTATCTATTACGAGAATATGAATTGA